TCACTTCCGCTCTCTCTAAAAATCAGTAAAGGGAAGGAAGGAAGGAAGGAAGGAAGGAAGGAAGGAAGGAAGGAAGGAAGGAAGGAAGGAAGGAAGGAAGGAAGGAAAGGAAGGAAGGAAGGAAGGAAGGAAGGGGTCTACATACCTAGCAGAAGCAAACATTAAGTCTTCTCTGGAAGACAGCACCTTCATCCTCACTCTCAAATTATTCTCTGAATACTCTTTTTAAAATATGTTTTTATAGATTTTAGAGAGAGGAAGGGAGAGGGAGAGAGACAGAAACACCAATGAGGGAGAAACATCAATTGGCTGTCTCCTGCACATGCCCCTTTGGGGATTAAGCCTGAAACCCAACCATGTGCCCAGCCTGCAAATCGAACTGGTGACCCCTTGGTGCAAGGGAGGATGCCCAACCAACTGAACCACACTGGCCAAGGTCTATGAACACTTTTAACAATAATGAGCAGTACATAAAGATAACCAAGCATACAGGGAGATTAGATTTCATGAGTAATGACCAGTAGAAACTAAACAAAAACAGGTCATTAAGGACTTCAGAAACTGAAATTAAATACAGACTATAGATAACTATGCTTACTATACTTAAAGAAGTAAAAGATGCCCTGGCTGGTTTGGCTCAGCAGTTAGAGTGTCCACCCATGGACCAGAGAGATCCAGGTTCGGTTCCCGCTAGGGGCACGTATCTCGGTTGTAGTTTGTCCCCGGTCCTGGTTGGGGTCATGTGGGTGGCAACCACTCGATGTGTCTCTCTCACATCAATGTTTCACTCTCTCTCTCCCTCCCTCTCTCCCTCCGGCTCTATCTGAAGATAACTGCAAAAATGTCCTCGAGTTAGGATAAAAAAAAAGTAAAAGACAAGTTTGAAAATAACTGCAAAGAAAGCTACTGAAAAATTACATAACAGAGTTTTAAAATAATTAAGTAGAATTTATGGAAATAAAGTTGTAATAACAAAAGATTTAAAAAATCAAGGAAACAGCAAATCAGATTTAATTGTGTGGACAAAAAGGGGCCACATGCTAACCTGACAGGCTCAGGTAAGACCTGCGGAGTGACCTTGCAAAAAGACCTAAAGAAACCATAAAGGATGGTCTGAAATTAAAACTTTCTAATCTGATGGAAGGTAGTCATGTCCTAGGCTGGCATCTTCCCAGAACAAAGGTCAATCTTTACTTTAACTGAGCCTGTCTATTGACTTTTTGCATCTACAATATCTTTGAAATGTCAAAGTAATTTTCCTTTTTCTGGACCCCTCAAAGCACAGGTACCACTCTGCGGAAACCACAAACTCCCGCATTGTTATGGAGTTAACTGTTGACTGTTAACTATCCTGTACCCACTTATGTAAAAGATGTATGTGTCTATCATTTTTGTATGTCTATCATTTTACTTTTCATCCAATCCCAGAGGTTTGCCTTCTCCTGACTCTCTAATCTATCACCAACAGATTTCATGTAACCCACTTATGTCTCCTCTTTTTATTGTAATGTATAAAATAAGGTGCAAAACTACCATTCTCTGGAGCATTATCTCAATCTGTTGAGGTTTTGCTTCCTGGCATTTGTTGACGGTTTTGGCTCAAATAAACTCACAAAAATTCTTCACAGGTTTGAATGTTTCTTACGTCGACAATTGAAAAGAGAATTAGGAAGTGGTATGTCAGGAAAAAATTACTCATAATGCAGCACAGAGACAAAAAGATATGAGATATAGAAGAGATAATAAAAGACATAAAGGTTAAAATGAGGTTTAACATACACTTAAACAGAGTACCAGAAGGAGAGGAGAGAAAGCATGAAACAAATGCAGTATCTGAAAAGATAACAGCTGAGAATTTTCCAGAACTGATTAAAAAAATACCAAACACAATTTCAACAAGTCCAGTGAAACCCAAGCCAGATAAATTTTTAAAAATTCATACTTAGACACATTGTAGTTAACTGCAGAAAATCAAGACAAAAATAAAATCTTGTAAATGGCAGTGGGAAGTGGTAATGGTAGAGGTGGTGAGATAAAATGCAATAGAATTACTTTAAAGGGACTCTGACAATTTGAATTAATGAACTCCAGTATTTGTGTAATTCTCTATACTCTGCTTTATTCCAAAAAGAATTCCAGGCAGCTTGCCAAGATTCATATAATGTAATCCAGTAAAATAAATTTAAAATGAGATAAGGCAAAGAGGAAAGTAAGCTGGATGTAGTACTAAGGTTCGGTCCCAAAATGCATGCTATAAATTCCTCTTTGCTTCCTAGAAGGGCACCACAAATTTGGCTTTAAGCATTTTAGCACCCATACAAAGAGAGAAACTGTCAATTACAAGATTTTCAGTAAAAAACAACTAGTCCCTCAGGGAAAGCAACTATTTCTAAAGGAGATGATAATGAGAATGATAGTAAACAACATCTGCAACATCCTCTTACAATAAATAGAAACACCTTTTATAAGATCAAATGCAACTTTAAAGGGAAGACCAATATGATGTATTGCAGGGGTGAGGCTCAATCCAGGAGGAAGATCTCAGGGTAGTGGATGGTCTGCATATGCTTCATAAAATCTTTAATACATAAGTACTTTCTCAGGTAAGCTTCTGAAAGGAGTGGCTTTAAGAGTCTTCCTGACAAGAACCTAGGTGTAACTACTCTGTTGAGTAATTAGGTGCAGAGCATATACTAAACTATCTACTAAGCCAGGGGCAGGATAACAGGCTCTTGTGAAAACTGAGGAGTCAGACATGATTCCATCTCAACTCAGATGAGTGAGATCCAGAATGTTCCTTAACCAGTCTCATTACCCTATAAAGCAGATGAAATGACTCTATATTCTACAAGTGGCATTAATTGAGAAAAAACAAGATATAACTGACAATCATAGCAAAAGGAAAAAAAAAATACTTGGTACAATTAATTAGGTTGGCAAAAAGAAGTAGAGATGCCTACAAAGTTTCTAATAATACGGAGAACAAAAGTACAATAACAGAAAAATTGGGCAGACACATTTTGAAGGAAACAGAACAGCTCTTTTAGACAAAATGTTTGGGTCTGAATATCTGAATGGAAATGTACAGATGACATTTCCTAGTATTTTCTAGAAATGTATCACTAAAGCTCAGGAAAGGGATTAAGGATAGAACTAAAAATTTTGAAATCTGTACATAGACATAAAAATTGAAATCACTGAACGTTCTTTCCAACTTGGGCCTGGCATAATGGCTCTCACAAAGAAGGGTAGAAGAAGGGCTGTTCTGCCATCAATGGGGTAGTAACCAGAGAATACCCCATCAACATTCACGAGTGCATCCATGAAGTGGGTTCAAGAAGCGTGCCCCTGAAGCACTCAAGGAGAGCCGGGAATTTACCATGATGGAGATGGGAACTCCAGATGTACCCATTGACACCAGGCTGAACAAAGCTGCCTGGGCCAAAGGAATGAGGACTGTCCCATACCATATCCAGGTGTGATTGTCCAGAAAACGTAATGAGGATGAAGACTCACCAAACAAGCTCTATACATCGGTCACCTATGTACCTGTTACCACTTTCTTCTTATTTTTTATCCTCACCCAAAGACATTTTTCCATTTTTTATTCAGATAGAGTTGGAGGAAGAGAGAGAGAGAGAGGAACATCGATATGAGAGTGGCTGCCACCCACACGACCAACCAGGGCCGGGGACAAACCGCAACCGAGGTACGCGCCCTGAGCGGGAACCGAACCCGGGTCCTTTGGACTGCAGGCTGACGCTCTCACCGCTGAGCCAAACCGGCCAGGGCCTTATTACCAGTTTCAAAAATATACAAACAGTTAATGTGGATGAGAACTGCTGATTGTCAAATTAAGTCATAAAACTGGGGGAAAAAATTGAAGTCATTGAGTAGTCCTAATTCCCAAACCACTAAATCCCTTCTCCTTAAACCACTGCCCCAGTGTTAACAAAAGAAATGGATCCCATAAGACATGCCATCTGAAAGAAGTACACAGCCACAATACAAAAAGCAGGTTGTATTTCAAAGTGACCCAATGCACAGAGAGAACATTCAATACAGCTACAGAGTCTGACTCAGAAAGAGAAATGTACAGGTCTATATCCCATCACTAGAAATTAGAACAGAACTACATTATATGGCTCACAGAGAATGACACAATTTCTCTACAAAGTAAATATATCTACTCTCCATTTTATACTTAAGAATACATAGATCCATTCTGTTTCACGATTAGAATTTCCTAAAAATTATTAAGTTCGGTACATGGCAATTTATTAAATATGTCTGAAATTTTCCATGATAAAAGATTTTTTTAAACTTTTTTTTTAATCCTCACCCAAGGATATTTTCCACTGATTTTTTTTTTTTTTTTAAGATAGAGTGGGAGGGAGAGAGAGAAACATCGAAGTGAGAGAGACACATCGATTGGTTGCCTCCCACAAGACCCTGACAGGGCCAGGGATCAAACCTGCAACCAAAGTATGTGCCCTTGACCAGGAATCAAACCTGTGAATCTTTGGTCCAAGAGCCAATGCTCTAACCACTAAGCAAAACCGGCCAGGGTGTTTTTTTTTTAACTTTTAAAAAATTCCCTAGGCCCTGCCTAGTTTGGCTCATCGGTTGGAGTATCGGCCGGCGGACCAGAGAGTCCTGGGTTCGGTTCCCACTAGGGGCACGTACCAAAAAAAAAAAAATTCCCTAAAACTTAAAGAGACATATTTTTCTGTCTTTGAGCAGATATTCCCTAAAACTTAAGAGACATATCTTTCTGTCTTTGAGCAGCTAACATTAACCTTCCTGTGATATAAGAGGCAGGAAGGAAGGACATGGTCATTTCTTTCTCATTTTCAATAACAAGAGGTTATTAAATTCTAGAAAGAAGACGCAAGAGTGTAAGAGATGCAGTCTTCAGATACACAGTTGGATAGGTGTTAAAGATAGGAACTATGGTAGCTTCAAAATAAACTAATGGAAAAGTAAAAAAATAAACTTACTCTTTTCAATGAGCTGGTCCTGAACCCCTGCCAGCGCACTTACTGCCTAAAAGAAAAAACCACCAGTTATGAGAAAAATTATCACGGACCTCAGGAGAGCACTCACAAACAGAAGGGAAAGAGAAAACCCACATAATTTCCTCAACAATGGGCCACATAAAGAGTCCCCCCACCTCACTTACAGCTGCTGAAGTCACTGAGGATTTACTGAAGAGCCGCTCAGCTTCCTTAAACTTCCGGTTCCTTCTATCATTTTTGCTATTGGAGTTTCTAAAACACACAAGGATTCATTATAAGCTCCAAGCTTTGTCTATGGCTCAAGCTAAGGATGTCCCAGGGAAAATGTAAGGAACTCTTTTTGCTTTTATTACCTCCATACCACTTGGACTGACCAAAACAACCTTATGCTGAATGCCTATGTAGACAGACAATGTTTTCCAATGTACGGAATGTGCTCCACTGTGGTACATGAGACTGCTTCGGTTGGTTCATAATCATTTTCATTTTAATATGTATATACTATAATAATTTTTAAAACAATTAGCATAGACTAGTGATATGAAGTGTCTGTTAAATAAAGTTAAATTTTAAAAATTTAAAGGAAAAAAACAAGATTTTTGTTTTTTATTTTTATCCTCACCTGAGGACACTTTTTTGTTTTGTTTTGTTTTGTTTTGTTTTGCATTTATCTTCAGAGAGAGTAGGAGGGAGAGAAGGAGGAAGTGAGACAGAGAAACATAAATGTGAGAGAGACACATTGAGTGGTTACCACCAACACAACCCCAACCGGGGCCAGGGACAAACTACAACTGAGGTACGTGTCCTTAGCAGGAACCAAACCCGGGACTCTCCAGTCCTCGGATTGAAGCTCTAACCACTGAACCAAACCACCCAGGGCAAAAAACAGGGTTTTTTAGAAAAATGGTCTGGAACAAGGAAAAGGTGACAGAAAAGAACAAGGTGGTCAAACTAATAAAATCATATCAAAAGGACAAAGGAATCAGCTTAAGGAGGTTCCCTCTGGCCACATTTGAGATAAACTAAGCATCAAAAAGAATGATGGGAGTCCTAGCCAGGTGGCTTGGTTGGCTGAAGCGTCATCCCGTACACCAAAAGGCTGCGGCATGATTTCCAGTGAGGGCACACATCTAAGTTGTGGGTTCCATCCCCAGTCAGGGTATAGACAGGAGGCAATAGATTGATGTTTCTCTTTCACATCGATGTTTCTCTTTCTTTCTCTCTCTTTCTCTCTCTCTCTTTTTTTCTCTCTCTCTCCCCCCTTCTCCCTCTAAAATTAATAAACATATCCTCAGGTGAGGCTTTTTTTTATCCTCACCTGAGGACATTTTTGCATTTATCTTCAGATAAAGCGGGAGAAAGAGAGTGAGGGATAGAGAGAGAGAGAGAGAAACATTGATGTGAGAGAGACACATCGAGTGGTTGTTACCCACACAACCCCAACCGGGGCCGGGGACAAACTGCAACTGAAGTACATGCCCTTAGTGGGAACCAAACCCGGGCCTCTCTGGTTTGCGGGCCAACCCTCTAACCACTGAGCAAAACCAGCCAAGGCGGATTTTTTAAAAAAAGAAAAAGCCCGCTGGTGTTGCTCAGTGGATTGAGCATTGTCCCATGGACTGAGAGGTTCCAGTTTGATTCCTGGTCAGGGCACATGCCCAGGTTTGGGGCTCCATCTCCAGCAGGGGGCGTGCAGGAAATAGCCCATAGATGTTTTTCTCTCATCGATGTTTCTCTCTCTCTCCCCCTTCCTCTCTAAAAAAATCAATAAAACATATTTTTTTTAAAATATGTAAAAAAATGTTAGAAAAAAAATGATGGATGTGTCAGCTTTATGAAAAGTCACTGAGCTGTATATTTATGATTTGTGCACCTCTCTGTATACATTGCAACAAATTAATTTATATTTAAAGAATAAACCTCTATAATAAAAAAGTGAAAGTGCTAGATCCCAACAGTAATTTAAAAAAAAAATCCATGAGTCTATAGTGATACTAAAGAGAGACAGAGATAAAGAGGATGAAAGGGAGAAGATAAAAAGGAAAGGCTCTGCTTTCAGAATACCAGTAACAAATGCAAAAGGAATAGTAAAATTGGAATCACCATTCTGCAACCTCCATACAATAACTGAGTCAGATAGGAATCAACAATGTAGACTAAAACCACTGAATAAAAATTTGGGAGTAGGCATATATTCCCACTGCCTCAAAGTATAGGCTCCAAACTTACATGTTAATTACGAAGAGAAGTAATAAACTTTATAATGTAAAAATCACATGGTCAAACTTAACAGCACCAATAATGGGGCAATCTGACATTACATGCCTCCTGATGAAACAGAGGTAAACACCAAGAGGTACACAAATTACTAATGCAACATTTCTGCCAAAAATGTTTCAAGTATCTCTCATGAGATCGCAGTAAGAAAAATCTGGAGTTGGGACATTCTATAAGACAATGTCATAAACAACTACTTTACCATCAAAAAATGTTGCAGACCCTCCTAAATTAAGAGACTAAAGAGACATTAGAGCCAAATGCAATGAAAAACTCTGACGGGATCAAAATAAGGTAGCAAAACATGTTGGGGATAATTAGGGAAATTTGAATAAAGACTTAGTATTAATATTATTAGATGATACTATTAATGTAATGCTAATTTTTCTCGACATAATTGTGGGTAGGTAAGAAAAATGTTCTTGCTCCACTGGTGTGGCTCAGTGGACTGAGTATCGTCCCATGGACTGAGAGGTCCCGGTTCGATTCCTGGTCAGGGCACATGTCTGGGTTGCAAGCTCAATCCCCAGTAGGGAGCGTGCAGGAGGCAGCTGATCAATATTTCTCTCTCATCGACATTTCTCTCTCTCTCCCCTCCTCTCTCTAAAAAAATCAATAAAACCATTAAAAAAAAGAGAAAGAAAAATATTCTTAGTCTCAGGAGATAACTGCTGATATATTTAGGGGCAGTATGTCATAATTTCTGCTTCTAATTTAAAAAATATTTTTTTTCTTTACTGATTTATAGAGAGGAAAGAAGAGGGAGAGAGAGCTAGAAACATCGATGAGAGAGAACATCAATTGGCTGCCTCCTGCATGCCCCTCACTGGGGACTGGGCCCACAACCTGGGCATGTGCCCTGACCGGAAATCGAACTAGCAACCTCTTGGTCGACGCTCAACCACTGACCCACACTGCCCAGGCTCTGCTTCTAATTTTGAATGGGTTAGCAAAAAAAAACCCCACAAAGTATAAAGGAGATACAACCGTAAAGGAATGGCATAACAGAGATCATTATGGTGGTGAATAGTTCTGTGTCTTTTTTTTTTTTTTTTAAATCCTTACCCAGGGATATCTTTGCATTTATCCTCAGATACAGTGAGGGAGGAAGAGAGAGAGAGAAACGTTGATGTGAGAGAGACACACTGAATGGTTGCCACGCACAGGATCCCAACTGGGGCCGGGGACAAACTGCAACCGATGTACGTGCCCTTAGTGGGAACCAAACCCAGGACTCTCTGGTCCATGGGCCAATGCTCTAACCGCTGCGCAAAACTGGCCAGGGCAATAGTTCTGTATCTTAATTGCAGTGGTCATTATAGGAATCTACACATGTGATAAAAAATGATAGAACTATAGCTACACATTGTGCTACTGCCAATTTCCTGGTTTTGATATTGTAGAATAGCTACATAAAACCCAATGGGGAAAACTGGGTGAAGGGTACATGGGACCTCTCTGAACTATTTTTATAACTCCCTATGCATCTATAACTATTTTAAAAATCTTTTTAATTGATGCAGATATAGGTGAGTTTATATATATATATTGTACAAAAAGAAGAGAGAGAAAACAAATGTAGTAACAAGTTAACTAGCAATTGGTGAATTCCAGTGAAGGGTATCAAGTGCTCATGTACTATTCTTTCACTTTTTTTTTTCTTTCTTTAAAATTTTATTGATTTTTTAGAGAGAGAAAGGGAAAGAAAGGAAGAGAGAGAGGGAGGGAGAAACATGGATTGGTTGCCTCCTGCAAGCATCCCGATTGGGTATCAAACCCAAAACCTGAGTACGTGCCTTGACCAGAAATCTAACCCTCCACTTTTGGTGTGCTCCAACCAACTGAGCCACACTAGCCAGAGCGCTTTCAATTTTTCAATAGACTTAAAAATTTTTCAAAAAGTTTAGAAAGTTTTTGAAAATACTATTACTAAATAAATCATGGTACAGTTGGTAATAGGTATGGCAAATATTGTGAAGGTGGAACTCAGAACTGATTAAAATGTGGAAAACACTAATAGAATGCTGCTGTATAAGGTATTATATGAGCCCTGGCTGGTTTGGCTCAGCGGTTAGAGCATCGGCTCGAAGACCAATGAGTCACAGGTTCAATGTCAGTCAAGGGCACGTACCTCGGTTGCGATTGTGCTCGGCCCTGGTTTGGGATTGTGTGGGACCCTACTAGATGTGTCCCTTTCACTTCGATGTTTCTCTTTGTCTCTCTTCCTCTCTCTCCCTCCCACTCTATCTGAACAAAAATGGAAAAATGTCCTTGGGTGAGGATAAAAAATAAATTAAATAAATAAATAAGGTATTATATGTTGTATTTCACTTAAGCCTCACACACCCCTGTGCCACAGGCAGGTCTTTTCCCTATTCTACAGATGTAGGATTTGTTTAGGATTATTTAGTGAGAGTGAGGCTGAGGCTGAGGATGAGCCAGAATCCAAGTTCAAGCCCAAATCTCCTTCCACACTACTGCCTCCCTGCAAAGCTGCTAGCAAAGACTTATAAAGTCCTAAAAACAAGTATTAGTAGGTCACAACACAAACACCATAGGCTTCTGACACTCACTTTTGGTTGGTCAGATACCTATCCCAGCCACGAATAATATTGCCATACATCTGTGTGTCTTCAAGGTAGCTCCCTTCAAACGCATAGATCTGTCTCTCCAAGTTTGCCAGTGTTTCCTGAGAGATGAAAAACAAGTAAATGGATAATGCCTTTTAACAAAAAAAATCTTTATTGTTGAAAGCATTACAGACGTTCCCCCTTTTTCCCCCTGGATAATGCCTTTTGAATACAAACATTAAGTCTGACAAAAACTGAAATCTTGCTATTAGACTTATAAACTCAAGCACAAATACACTAAACCACAGAGATGGATGGCATGGGGGGTAGCAGGCAGATGAAGACAAACCTAGACTTGTCTTGTTGGATCCCTTTGACAATAGAATGAAACAGAGAGAGCCTGTCCCCTGAAAAAATGTATACACATGCAAAACTGTGTTTATACTTCACAGGGTCCATGGAAACCCAGCTGTGAAGAGTCCTGGCTCAGGCGGACTCCACTGCCATGCATAAAAGGTATGGCTGGAAGGGGAGCAGCCTTCCCGTGCTAGCCAACTCGCTCCCCTCCCCTCAGAAAGCCGCCTACACTGGACAGACAGTTGCTATGGAAACCTGGAAGGACAGCTTCAGGTGAGATGTGCCTCCCAGGTGCCCAAACCTGGACGCTGGGTGCAGGGAGCGCTTAGCCACTTGGGTGCATAGGACCTTGGCTGCATGTCACAATTCCTAATTCCCCCCAGAGTCCGCTCCCCTCGCCTCCCACCTTCTAGACATTCCCCAGCACACCGCATCCCTGCCCATCGGAAATCCCATTCAACGGATCTACTACTGGTCCCCAAAGGGACATGCGTCCCTCCATTCTCCAAAGACCAGACTGGATGACTGGGTCCCCCTCCCACAGCCGCCACCTACCCCACCCCGCCAAAGCCCACCGGCAAGCCTAACCCATCCCGACAGCCTACCGACACGCCCGCCCCCTCCGCCCACCGAAGCTCCCGGCACCAGCCTTTCCAGGGCTCCCGCACGCAAGCCCCCAGCCCCGGCGCCATCTGGCCTCCACGCCCCCCGCCCGCCGCGTCCCCTCCGCCTCCCCGGCCCGGCGCCCCCGCCCCTGGCCCCGGCTCGGGCGCAGCCGGGAAGCCGAGGCGCCGGCGGGCCGCGGAATGCGCAGCCCTGCCTCAGGCCGCCGGGCTCCGGACCGCCGCGCAGTGCCCGCGAAGTAACGGCCTGGCGCGGCGGGGCTGAGGCCGGGAAGCGGGGGTAGACGTGGGGGACCCCCTGAACCCCCCTCGGGTGTCAGCCCCTCACCGCCAGCTCCTGCTTCCGCTTCACGAGCTCCGCCAGCTCCCGCCGAGTGTCCGGGATCTGCGGTGGCGCTGCCTTGTTGTGCATCGCCATGTTGGGCTGAGGCGGGCAGCGGCGGCGCCGGGCGGGGGCGGTCCCTGCGCGCCGCCGCCCGCCAGGGGGCGCCCGCGCCGCACTGCGCCTGCGCGCGCGGCTTCCGGAGACGCGGGCCGCGCCGCGCTCTGCGCCTCCCGCTCGCCGCGCCGGGCCTGGAGGCGCCCGGTGGGGACTCTCTGGTCCTGGTACTGCGGCAGTTTTGCCCCTGGTGGACGACTTACCTTTACAGGCACCGCAAACTCACCGTGCCAAAACCAGACTCCACCTTAGTCCCCTCGGGGAAGGACTGTCACTGTCCACCGAATAGCCCAAGTCCGAAACCTGCGTATCCTCGCCCTCCTGCACACCTCAATCCCGTCCGAAACCAGGTCCCCTGGCCTGACCCCTTTGCTTTTGTCCGCCACCTCCCTCGTTCCTCCAGGACCTTCCTGCTGTGGGCTGCGTTATTCCAACAGACACCCTGTTTCCACGCTGAGCTGCCTGTAATCCGTGACCCACAGCGGTGCCAGCATAACTTGATTTTGGAAAACAAATGTGTCGTTCCCCTGGATTGAACGTTTCACTGGCTTCCCTTTGCCCTCTATAGAGGCAAGAACTACGGAATGTAAGTGTAGTGGTTACTGTGGCGAACTGGAGCCAGAACTACCTTGTCCAGTATCCTTCTACCACTGAGCTGTGCCACCTTGGGCAAGTATCCGAACTCCACTTGTCCCAACTTCCTCATCTGTAAAATGGGGGTGATAGTGGTACCCACCCAATACAGTTGCTGTGGGGTGTAAGTCACTTCATGTCTGGCTGCGCTTGGCAAGTACAGCAATGACCTAAATACTACCTATTTTAACATTGAAGTCCAGCCTTGACTTTGTTTTCACTTGGCCCCTACTTACTTCTCCTGCCTCACCTCTCTCCATTTTTCAGGGTTCTGCACATTTCACTATCATGAATCTAGGTAGGATATATTTTTCCCCTTCCTTCCTTCGGTTTCGGGAAATGGGACCTAGACTTGGGTGGGCCAGCTGGTAGTTTGTAGGTTCTTGACCTCATGCGAGAAAGAGTTCACATCATGGGTTCAGGTGATTTTTTTTTTTTTTTTTATCCTCACCCGAGGACATTTTTCCATTTTTTTGCACAGACAGAGTGGGAGGGAGAGAGAGGAAGAGAGAGAGAGGGAAACATCGATGTGAAAGGGACACATCGAGTGGCTGCCACCCGCACGACCAACCAGGGCCGGGGACAAACTGCAACCGAGGTACATGCCCTTAGCAGGAACCGAACCCGGGTCTCTCCGGACCGCAGGTGGATGCTCTAACCGCTGAGCAAAACAGGCCAGGGCGGTTCAGGTGATTTTTAGGGTACATTTATTAAAGCTGTACAGTGAAACAAGGAAAGGCCTAAGATAGAAGAAGCAACAGGAGAGACAAGGTGGGGAAGGGAGCCTAGGCTGGGCTGCTTTGGCTCACTAAGAAGTCAGAGAAAAGGAGACCTTGGGGACAGGGTTAGCCCGGGATGAACTGCTGCTGCCTATTGCTCCCCAGTTTGCAAGCCTCGTGTGGTCCCTTAGAGTTTAGGAGACACTCCCCGGTGGGGGAAGAAAAAGGGGAAGGGGAAAGCTCCACTGCTCCTGGTAAGGGAGAGCCGATGCTGGGACTTTCATTTTTGAGGAAGACTGAGAGTTTAGGAGAGGTCCTAGGGGAGGGGCTAAGTAGAATATTCATTGGTTTTATGCTGATAGGCCAAATGAGATTTATTCCCTTCATCTGTCCTTTGATGTTGTTGACAACCCGCACTAGTTGGATTATCCTCTGATTGGGGAGAAGTATAAACCATTTATTCTTTTTTTTTTTTTTTTATCCTCACCAAGGACATTTTTCAATTTTTTGTTCAGATATAGTGGGAGGGAGAGAGAGAGAGAAACAGATGTGGAAAGGGACACATCAAGTGGCTGCCACCCGCACAACTCAACCAGGGCCAGGGACAAACTGCAACGGAGGTACGCGCCCTTAGCGGGAACCAAACCCAGGTCTCTCTGGACCAAAGGTCAACGCTCTAACCGCTGAGCCAAACCGGCCAGTGCTAAACCATTTATTCTTAAATGTCCTTGGTTACAGAATATTTTGCAGTTGACTAGGTGGTTGTAAACTACTTAGCCATTTATCTGTCTGTTTGCCCCTATTCTGCTTGTCCTGGCTTACTAACCTGTTTCCTTCCCTCCTTCTTTTATCCTTTCTTCCTTTCCCTTGCTTGGAAGTCTTTAGGTTTCTACAATCTGGAAATTCACCAGTTCTGGGAAATTCTCAGCTTTCTTCAGATATACCTCTGCCTCACTTTCTCTCTCCTTCTGGAACTTTGATTAAATAAAATAATCCTTTATATTGTTTACCCGCTTTCTTTTAAATCTGTTTGTTTCTCTCTGCTGCATTCTGCATGATTTCTTTTGTGTGTTGCTTTTGTAAACTGGGATCTTGCTGAACTCTCCTAATAATTCTAGGAGGGTTTGTTTATTTATTTTTAGATTCCTTGGGGTTTTTTACATAGACAATAATTTCCTCTTCAAATAGGGAGTTTTATATTTTCCTTTCCAATCTGTATGCTTTTTATTTCCTTTTCTGCATACTGTCCTGGCTAGGACTTCCAGTGCTATGTTGAATAAGAGTGGTCAGAGCAGACAACCTTGACTTGTTCCCTGTTAGGAGAAAAGTATTATCTTTCACAATGAAGTATGATGTTAGCTGTAAGGTTTTTGTAGATGCTATTTATCAAGTTGAGGAAGTTCCCTTCTGTTCCTGGTTTACTGGCAGTTTTTATCATGAAATGGGTGTTTTGTCAGATGCTTTTCCTGCATTAATTGACGTGATTGTGATTTTTCTTCTCTAGCCTGTTGGTATAGTGGACCACATAGATTCATTTCCAAGTGTTGAACCAGCTTTGTATATCTGAAATAAACTCCACTTGGCTGTGTGGTATAATTCTTTTTGTATATTGCTAGTTTCAATTTGTTAATATTTTATTGAGGATTTTGGTGGCTAAATTCATGGATGTTGGTCTGTAAGCTTATTTTTGTACTTTCTTATCTGACTTTGTTATCGAAATAATAATGGCCTTATAAAATGAGCTGGGAGGTGTTCCTTGCTTTTCTAACTTCTAGCAGAGGTGGTAGAGAATGGTGCTAATTCTTGAAATGTTTGGTAGAATTCTTCAGTGAAACCATGACCACCTGGGTCTAGATATTTCTTTTTAATCACAAGTTCAATTTCTTTAATATTTATAGGACTATTCAGATGATCTATTTCTTATCAGGTGAATGGTTTTTGAAGAATAGGTCCACTTCATCTAAATTGTTAAATTTATGTACACAGATAATTTCTTTTGTCCTGTCTTGCAATTCATTAATTCTTCCTCAAACGTCTGTTGAAGCCATCCATTGATGGATTTTTATACATTTACTATATTTTTCACTTCTAAAAGTTCTAGTTGGTCTCTTAAATAACTCCCATTTCACTTGTTGCCATTTCTTGTTCCTTGTGGGTATTTTCAAGCTTATCATTTACTTCTTAGAAAATAGTAACCGTGAACATTTCATACTTATCTTGTAATTCAAGTATCTGAAGCTCTTTGAGAATCAGTTTCTGTTATGTTATTTCTTTTGGTTTTCACAACTACAGTGCCTTTTATTGAGTACCCTAAATAATTAATTGGTCCTGGAGCCGACTGATCAATGTTCCCCTTTCATATCAGTTTCTCTTTCTCCCTCTCCCTTTCTCTCTCTAAAAATCAATAAAAATATTTTTTAAAAATAGTAATTATATTGTTTGGAGGGAAATTTGGAAACAATTGGATAGAAGTTAAAAGTCCCTGCAAAGAGAAATTTCACATATTTCTTTTTTTCTTTTTCTTTATTGATGTTAGAGAGAGAAAGGGAGAGAGAGAGATAGAAACATCAATTGGCCGCCTCCTGCATGCCCCCCACTGGGAATCAGGCCCACAACCTGGGCATGTGCCCTGACCAGGAATTGAACCAGTGACCTCTTGGTGCATGGGTCGATGCTCAACCACTGAGCCACACCAGCCAGGCGCTGATCCGCTTTTATCCTGCAAATTATAGCCCTTTGGCATAACAGCTTTTTCTAGGCAACATCTACTATACTATCCACTGTATGTGGGCTTTGGGTCTTGACTTCTATGTCAGGCAACCTAGGATAAGGTCTGATTTACGAGAATCAAATAGGGGTTGCCACTAGACCAAATGTGGTTTCCAGGCATCTATGTTCCATTTCTCTCTGGATTCTTGTTTATCTTCACTTTTGGTCAGATAACTTTACTAATTTGTCAATTCTTGGATGATTTAAGATTTTTTTTTTTTTTTGCTTATATTTTATCTAGAAGTTTTGGCTGTTTTAAGCAGGTTTCAGAAAAATAACTTAGTCTCTCATTATCAGAATCCAGAAGTCTCCCTCACCTTTCTCCATAATTAAACTTGGAAGTGCTTCCAAAGCCTCATTAATTTACCACCTCAGGCATTTCTGAGTACTAGCTTTTTTTCATCCCCACTGGCCTCTTCTGAGTTCTGCTCGTTCTTCCCTTACTACAAGGCTTTGTTGAATGTTATTTCTCTGACCTTCCATAATCCCCAATGCTTCTATCTAGCACTGTCTGTAACTCCTGGTTACATTGCTCTTCGAGGGCCAGACCTTGTACATCTCATAGTCAGAGGCAGTTTATCACAGTGGTTAAGTATGTGGCATCTGAAACCAGAGGGACTGAGTTTGAATCCCAGTCCTACCAACCACTGTGATCGCAACCTCTGTTCCCCAGTTCTCCCATCTGTAATGAAAGAAGTGGAACAAGGAAAGAAGCCTGCCTCATAGGATTATGAGGAATGAGTTAAAGTATGCATTAGTGTACATGTAAAATGCTTAGAACTGTGCTCATGTAGAAAGTGCTCCTACATATTAGCCGGTTTTATTATTGAGGTCTCGGTCCATACCACTTTTTAGGCACCAAATTATTGAATATTTGTGTATTTCTAT